TCTCCACCTCCGACCAGACGCCAAGGCTCAGTTATTGGGTTGGGCTTCGATGAAACGAAACGGTCGGTACGTCTCGACCACGAAGCACGAGCCCACGAAATGCACGGGCTGCAGGATTCTCAAAACGCAGGGGCCAGCTCGCTTCACCTTCACGGCTCCACCCCTCTCGGCGGCGGCCGGGATCGCGCCGCAGTAGCCCCGACGGCGCTACGGACCGAAGTGCAGTTCGGCCCGCGTTTCTCTGGTTCAGTGGTTAGCCTCCGCGCCGCAAGTTCCTAGAGATGGCGGCGAAGTCTGGATACACACGCCCGCTCCCTCTCGCCGGGGACACCGCTCCTCCGCCTCCCAGCGCCGTCCTCTATGTGGCCAACTGCGGGCCCGCGGTGGGAGTAACCGACGCCGACGTCCGCTCGGTGTTCGGCGCCTTCGGGGAGGTCGCAGGGGTCCAGGCCGCCGACGACAGCGGCGCCCGAATCATCGTCCGGTTCCACGAGCCCGCCGCCGCGGAGGCCGCCATGGCCGCGCTCCACGGGCGCCCCTGCGACCTCCTTGCGGGTCGCGTGCTGCACATTCGGTATTCGGTGCCCGTGAAGCCAAAGGCTCGCCCTGGGGGCTCTGTACCGGTGGCTCTCGTGGCATCGGAGCTCGGAATCCCCGGGATTTACATGGTTCAGGAGTTCTTGACTGCCGCTGAGGAACAGGTTAGCCAATTGTGAGTCATCTCCGTTTGTTCTCCAAGTTTGAGGGTTCGGATAAACGCCATTACTATTCGCCTATTTTAAAACATGACATTACAATTCTTCGTTTCCCATAAAAATACCACTGAATGCATATGGACACAGCCGGGACCCAGCTGCAGGCGTATACGAAGACTATACTTCATCTCCCTATCACTGACACGCGGGCCCCATATGTCATCTTCTTCCTCTCCTCTCTCTCTCCATCCCGACGCGGCCACGGCGGGCGCTGCCGCCGGCGGCGGCTGTGGGCTTGCGGTCGAGCCGACGAGCCGCTGTCGTGACCCCGCGCGCCGCGGGCGAGCAGCCGCCGACGGGAGCGCCACAGCCGAGCAGCAGGACGCGGCCGGTGCGGAGCTCACTGCCCGGGCGGCGCGCCGAGGACGCGGCCAGCGCGGAGCTCGCGGCCTGACCGACGTGCTGCTGCTCACCCGCGTGCTGCTGCTGCTCGGTGTCGATTGGAGCACTCGTCGTCGCAGCCGCCGCCGCCCAGAACCAGTCCCCAGCGCTGCTCATCGCCGACGAGCACATCTTCTTTCCTCAAAGAGCTCGCCAGCTCATGGCTGCAGCGCGCGCTGCCTGCCCGTGCTCACCGGTCGGCCGCGGCATGCGGCTTCAAGCTTGCCTTGGCCGCGTCTTTGGGCCGGATCTGGCAGCGCAGAGCTCGGGCACCTCGCGGGGCCTGTGAGGGGGGGCCGCCATCCATCACCAAATCCGGCGCACCCGACGAAGACGACCGGTGAAGCGAGGAGGTCGGGGTCCATGGCGTTGTGCACGCGTCCGCGCGCCATGCGGTGATGGCGAGAGGGCTCGGGGCTCTACGTGGCCGCCTAACCGCCGCTCGCGCTCATCTTCCTCACCGGGCGCCAATGGGCGTGTTCGCGTGCCGGCATGCCGCTGGCCCAGCCAGCGCGGCACGCCCGGCTGCTGCTCATGGAGGCCGTGCTCACCTTCTCGCGCGCCATGGCGGGCGGAGCTCCCGACGCCACACGGCGGGAGCTCCAGCGCGCGCGTTCGCCGCCATGCCATGGCCGTCCGGGCGTAGGCCGACCACCATCTCGCGCGAGCCGAGCTCCTTGGCGGCGTCTCTGTTGCTGCTCGGCGTCTTTCTTTGCGCGGCGTGTTGCTGCTTGCTGCTCGCCGTGGCCGTGGCAGCGTCGGGATGGAAAGAGAGGAGGAAGAAGAAGATGACACGTGGGGCCCGCTTGTCGCTGATGAGGGGTGATAAAGTATACGTCTTCGTATCACGCTGCAGCTTAGGCCTAGGTTTTGTCCATACGTATTCAGTGGCATTTTTGTGGAAAACGAAGAATTGTAATGGCATGCTTCGAAATAGGCGAATAGTAATGGTGTTTCTCCAAACATCGAAAATTATAATGGCATGAATCAAATAAACCCTTGCTAAATAGCCCTGCTTCCCTGTGCTGAGTGGTACTATGTCTTTTGCTTCCTTTTCAGGAGTTGCTTTCAGCTGTGGATAGCAAGACGTGGAAAAGACTGGCGAAGAGACGAGTTCAGCATTATGGTTATGAGTTTCTGTACGAAGTAAGTTTGATCTTGTAAGTATCTCAGGATGATGCAATGTTCCAGTATCTTGGGTTGTCCTTACATCAATAAATGGGACTACTGCCTGATGTTTTTATTTCATTAAGAGAGCATGGCCTTTCTTCATTTGTGCTGCCAAGAAACAAAAAGGGTTATACTCAAAAGTGAGAGATGCATTGGCTTCATTTTGTGACCCTTCATACTGTCTGTCCCATTTTCACCAGTCTTGAACCTAATCAAGTCCTGAAGTATCACCGTGTGATAAAATGCAGTTTGATTTCACTTTTCTGCTGCACATAGACAGTAAAGGTTTCTGGGCCTGATCGTTGGTTGGTTTCTGGGCTGATTTGGACTAGCTGGTGCTGGTTTGTTGTGAGAGGAAAACACTGTTGGCTGGCTGATTTGGGCTGGCTGAAACCAACAAGCGAACAGGCTGAGACGTAGCATGAACAAACTTAAAGCTTGTCATTTCTACTGCACAATTTCCTTTAATCGTCATATCTTTAGCTTGAGACTACCTTAGCTTTATGTTGAAAAAGATTCTTTGCTATCCACAGACAAGGAATGTTGATTCAAAGCAGTTCTTGGGTGAATTGCCTACGTTTGTTTCAACCGTCCTTGAGAAGATTGCTTCTTTTCCCGGTGTGAAGGACTGTACCACCAGATTAGTTGATCAATTGACAGTAAGTTCTCTATTGACAAGGAATGTTGTTTCAAAGCAGTTCTCTATTGTTTCCTTTGCTGAAGGTGATACCTATAATTCTTATCTTTCCTTGGTCCATTATGCAATCTAGATTTGAGCCCTTAGCAGTGATAACAACATTAGCTTTTGAAATAAAGAACAATGCATTAAATTGTTCATGTGTTTTACAGGTAAATGAATATCCTTGTGGTGTAGGTTTGTCTCCACATATAGACACACACTCAGCATTTGAGGAAATGATTTTTAGCCTTTCTTTGGCTGGACCTTGCATCATGGAGTTCAGGAAATATACTAGAGGCAGTTGGCGTGCTCCAAGTGTGGTCAATGGAGTTGATGAAGATAGCAGTCAAGAGCCAGAATGCATAAGGAAAGCCATTTTCCTACCTCCTCGGTCAATGTTATTGATGTCAGGAGAAGGTCGTTATGCCTGGCATCACTATATACCACATCATAAAGTATGTATTCTTCAGCTCTATGCATTGCTTCGCTTCGTTCTATATTATTCACAATGCATAAATTCAACCTGTAAATAACATGCTAATGTTTGTGCCCTGTTTTATTTTAGATCGATGCCGTGGGTGGTCAAGTCATCAAAAGGAATTCAAGGCGGGTTTCTTTCACTTTCCGAAAGGTCAGTTTTATTTTATTCGTTTCATGGTGCGCTGGATTGAATCTATTGTTCTAGCTGAACAGTTCACCAATAGTCTGCATCCTTTCCATTTTTTCCATTGTTAGTTTTGGTTTGCCGCTAGTCTTATAGCTTTACTCGTAAGAGCCACAATACTCCTTGTGTTTTACTTATTTGACATTTCCTTCATTTTGGCCATTAACTACAGGTGAGGATGGGTCCTTGTGACTGCGAATACAAGCAATTTTGTGATTCTCATAGCAAGAGATGTTAAGCTGGAAAGGCTAACATGTTCAAAACTACTTGCTGCTACAACCATTGGCAAGTCTCATAAGAAACTGTCAGTATTTTGTCTCACACAATCAAAATGGTCAGGAGCTCACCGACCAAACTCATATCAAGCAACAGATGTGTGTGCAAATGAATAGATAGAGAATTGTAGGAAATTGTCAGCTGTAACTTTTGAACCTTGTATCCGTCTCATTTCAAGATTGAATTGCTTGAATGAGCCTGTAGTTTGTCATTGTTTTTCCTGATATCTCAAAACAACAAAGTTTAAATTGTATCCATATGATGAAAAAATGACACCATTGTTTTTTGCTACTGTTGAACTTTGTGGAATTGGCCTTCATACATACCAGGACACTTTTCTAGATAACCTGGTTTCATCATTTGGTTACTCAGTTTAATGACCTCAAGAATTTATTGGCCTTGAGCTTCACAAGAAAAATGCCTCCTTCAGGTTTCATAGATGCATGAAAGGAGAAAACGTCGAGCACAAAGCAGAGAGAGAGAGAGAGAGAGAGAGTAACTTGATGATTTTCATCTTCATTTGAGTAATTACATGAATGCTTTCTGTGCCCATCTTCAGATATGAACAAATTGCTGTACACTTCACCAATCACCATGCATGTCATGTGTCTTGGACTGCGACTAAAAACTGTAGGATGCTACATTTACCGAGCAACAATGCCTTTGCTGGTCATGACATGAGTATTTGAGTATTCTGTAAACACTCACTGGCCACTGTTCTTTGCTGGTCATGACATGAGTATTGAGTATCTTGTAAACACTCACTGGCCACTGTTCACCGCGGCTTGCAACACGCCACATTCAACTAATCCATATCCTTCCTGCATGACTGCATCTAGGTCCAGGACATCATGGTCTCAACCTGCAGGGCTATTTCACCATTCACAAGTAGTGCGGCAGTTCAGTTTGTGGGTTTATTATATATGTAAATGTTCCTAAGTACCCCAATTTTGTCAAAGTGTTAATGCTGCAATTAACCAAAAAGCTAATCTGTCATAGCCTGAGCTGATCAGGTCACAGAACATGACCAAACACCAGATCAGCAAGCTTTCCACTGCTGCAGTACTGATACATGTCAGATGATTTCATCTCTACTGTAATCAACCCCATGCAGCAACGAGTATTCATGGCCATTTTTAGGGGAGCTTTGTAATGCTGCATCCTGGACTTTAATCCAACTAGAACCTGCCATCTTCCGCAACCCTCTCAACCTCATCTCCTTCCTCAAGCTATCAGCACTACTCCAGTTGCCCTCAGCAGCAAAAATATGTGACAACAAAACGTTGTAACCAGCATGGCCATACTTCTTCTCAAAGCAAAGCAATCTCTCTGTCACCAAATTCACCAATTCCTGCTTGTCCTGTGCTTTGCAGGACACGAGCAGTGATCCCCAGATAGAAATGAAGTTACCCTCCTCCCCCAGCTCCTGCACAAATTCATAAGCTTCCTCCACTCTGCCGGCTTTAGCTAACATGTCCACAATGCAGCAACGGTGCTGAGGAGTAACTGCAACCCCAAAAGTTTCCATTGACCTGTACAGAGCAAGCCCTTCATCAACCAGCCCAGAGTAATTACATGCTGAAATTGCTGCCAAGAAGGTCACACCATCAGGTTTTAGCCCCTTCTCTTGCATTGAGTAGAAAAGGGACAATGCCCTTTCGCCAAAACCATGCTGACCAAGACCAGAAATCATTGTTGTATAGGAGACAGTGCTCTTTTCAGTAATAACAGCAAAGACATGTTCTGCAGTAGAAATCTCGCCACACTTGGAGTACATGTCAACAAGAGCTGTACCTACGAAGACATTGGTGTCCAAACAACGGCGCAAAGCAAAACAATGGATCTGCTTCCCTGCACATAAACCTCCTCCTAGAGGATCACATGCAGGGAGCACCGAGGCAAGTGTCACTGAAGTAGGTTCAAGACTTGCCTCAAGCATTGCCCGGAATGCCAAGATTGCTTTTTCAGGCTGCCCACTCTGTGTGTACCCTGCTATCATGGCATTCCAGGTGACTTCATCTCTTTTGACATTACCATAGTCGTCAAATACGCTCTGAGCTATTTCTATGCGACCGGACTTGGCATACATGTCAATCAGATAGCTCTCCAAGCCCTCATCCTCAATGCCATGCCTTACGAGATAACCGTGGGCTTGTTTACCAATCTGAAGGTCTCCTGTATTGGACGCAGCAGAGAGAACTGCAGTCAGTGTCACTGAATCAGCTGCAAACCCTGATTTTTGCATCTGATAAACGAGCAACAGGCCTTCCAAATCAAAATCGTTCTGCACAAAAGCAGTGACCATGGTGTTCCAAGAAACAATGTCCTTCTCTGGTAAGCGGTCAAAGAGCTCAAAGGCAGTTTGGACATTGCCACATCTCGAGTACGTTACAACAAGTGCATTACCAAGTATCACTGGCAAAGTGGCGTGCATTCCTTTGATCAAGTAGCCATGCAGCTGCTGACCCAACCTGCCATCCTGGGACTGTGATGCAGCCGTAAGTGCTGACAGGAAGGTCACGACATCCATTGGAACCTCTTTAGACCCCATTAACCGGATAACGAGATCCATAGCTTCAGCAAATTTCCCATTCTGCACATACCCAGTGATCATCGTGTTCCAAACCTCGGTGTTCTTCTTGGCAGTGTACTCAAACACCCTCCAAGCTGACTGCACGTCCCCGAGTTCAGAGAACATCCCGATGGCCGAGCTGACAACAAAGAGATCATTGACATATTCCATCCCATGCTTCACAAGGAGGCCGTAGAGCACCAAGGACCAGCTGGGATCTTCCTTGGCCGCCGCGGGGAAGACATTGACGAAGCTGACTGGCGTGGACTTGATGCCATCCTCCAGCATACGCGCGAACAGCTCCAGAGCTTCCTGGGGACGTCCGGTCTTGACGTACCAACCGAACAGTGTGTTCCAGGAAACCGCGTTCCGCTTGGGCATCGCGTCGAACAGCCTGCGGACGACGTCGACGCCGCCGCCGCCTCGGTACCGCACGCAGGAGGCGTAGAGGTTGAGGAGCGAGTTGCGGAGCACCGCGGTGTCGGCCAGCGCGCGCGCGCGGCGGAGGAGGTGCGCGTGGACGGATTTCCCGAGGCGGAGGCGGCGGGTGCGGGCACAGGCGGTGAGCGCGCAGGAGTAGGTGTAGTGGTCGGAGCGTGGCGCGGGGCGCGCGGCGTGGTTGAGGAGCGCGTAGAGCCGCAGCGCGTGTTCCGGGAGGGCGCGGGCCACGTAGGCGATGAGGAGCGTGTTGTAGAGCAGCGGCGGCGGCGGGCGCGGGAGCGCGTCGAGGAGCAGCCGCCGCGCGCCGTCCAGGCGGCCCTGTTTGCACAGCCGCCTCACCTGCGACGACGTCGGGTGGCGCTGCGCCTTCACCCCGCCCCCGCCGCCGCTGGTGCTGGTAGCGGAGGCATTAGTAGGAGACGGAGGGAGCGAGACGGCGCAGCGGGGAGCAGGAGACATCAGACGGTGGCGCTGGCGCGTTGCGGTGACTCCTCTGTCCTCTCCCTCTCGCAGTGGCATGGCAGCTTGGTGCTTCCGCATATCGCCTCATCGCTTCGTGCCGGGCCCGGGCTGTCAGTCACTGACGAATAGGAGAGGACCTGGATTGCAAGTCATTTCCGTTTTCTTTTCTTTTTGAGCTGGGGAGTGGGGACATTTCGAAATGTTCGACTGCGGAACGGATTAGCTGGTGCTCCGATTGAGTGGCTGATGCTCCGATTCAGCTATATAATAATATAATAATATAGGTCCGGTTTGGTATAGTTTATCTAAAAAACGTTTTTCAGATAAGCTGCACAAATAGAGAAAAAATGATGGTCAAAATAAGCTGGTCTGATACAGCTTCTGCTTTTTAGTATGAATAGGAGCTGTGGGAATAAACGTGGCCAGAAAAAGCTGCTGAAAAGCGTGCCGTTTGGCTGTTGATTTCAGCTTATTTTGGCCATAAGCAGCTTATAAGCTGTACCAAATAGGCCCGTATGCATTTGTTTATATATTATTCTCTTTGGGCAGGTAGGGATAAAAACGGACGAAAACGGAAGAAAAAATCCCTCCCATTTTCATTTTCACATTTTCTAGCAAAAACGGCATCGGGTTTGGAAAAAACGGAATCAGGATATGCGGACATACGGAAACAAAATATGGACGGAGGGCCGAAAAATTAAATTAGGTTCACATGATCTAATATGATCATGCATGTGTAAAGTCACACAATACTGAACATATATGAAGATTGATATAGTATTCACTTTCATGCCACATGTAACATACATATTTGGTGATTAGATGTGTATTAACATAAATATGAAAACGTGATACCGTAAATACGAAAACGAACGGGACAAAAGTATAAAATGGGACGGGACGAGATTTTTGCCTGTTCATTTTCATCATTAGTCGTAGGGTCATAGGGACACAATATATAAGGCAAGGAGAAGAAGAAGGAGAAGAAAAGTCCTTAGGTGCAGAACGCAGAGGGAGCAATTGAACATGTCAAAGAGGTCCCGTAGAGAGCCACATGGAGACGAACGTGAGAGCCTAGGGGGAGAACACGGAGTGAGGCCATTGTCGTGTCGCTGCTCTAGCCACTTGACTGAATTTGGCATGTTGAGGTAGCGGTGACAACAGGCTCAGCAGCAGCATCTCCACCTCATGTTGGACGACTAGTAGAGAGGGTACAAGCGTACAGCGTACACAGGGTCGACGAGGGCGACTTTTACTCCGACAACACCGAATATTTGAGTGCCGCAACGAGGCCTTGTTTGTTTTGTCCCGAAACCAAATGGGTTGGAGGGGATTGAGACGAATTTAATCCCCTATAAGTCACACTACTACAACAATTTTAACCGAGGCGGGCAAAACAGATTAACCGAGGCGGGCATCACAACCGCCTCGGTCAAAAGATCACGGTAAATCAATGTTTTCCCGAGGCGGTTCGAATGCCCACCTCGGTTAATCGAATAAATAACAAAAAAGAAAGAAAAAAGCCCACAGCCCAAACCAGGTCTGGGCCTAGATCTACACTGCGCACCGTCATTGCCGCCGAGGTTCCTCGATCCGCCACCGAGGGAGCTCAATCCGGCCACCACGGGCACAAATCCGGCCACCACGGCAGCTGGAAGGAGATGGGGGAGGAGGGCACTCCGCCGCAGGTGGATGAGCTCAGGGGAGGAGCACGCCACCGCTGAGGAAGGAGCCAACGCCGCAGCATCGGCCAGGCCCGCACCCATGTCGCCTGCGCCGCCGCCTCGGCCACGCCGCCAGGCCGCCAGGTTGCCACGCCAGGGAGTTCCTCTAGATCCCCTATTGGTGAGGGAGAGGGAGGCACGGTAGAGTGGGGGAGAGGAGAGGGGAGGGGGCACTCGGGTGCGGAGAGGGAGGCACGGGGGAGTGGGTGAAGGGAGAGAGGAGGGGGCGCTCGGCTGTTGAGTGAGGGAGGTGAGTGAACCCTAACTCCCCTGCTCCTGTATATATAAACCCGATAGTTGATTGGATATGGGCTTTTTGCTGGGCCTTGAGAATATTAACCGAGGTGGGCCTTATAAGAGGTCTACCTCTGAAAATAGAGGTATTTTTGGAGGCAGGCCTCTTATAAAGCCCACCTCGGTTAACAGATTTTAGGAACCACCTCGGTAAATTGATTTTATAAGGTGGTTGACTGTAACAGCCTCGGTTAATAAAAATGACTGCGTCGGTTAATCCTAGGCACAACCAAGGCAGTTTAAAAGCACGCTCGCCTCCGAGGCCATTTTCCAAATGCCTCGCATAAGTTATTCTATAGCAGTGTCATAATCCCCATCAATCCTCTTCAACCCTCTTTGTTTGGAAAAGAAACAACCTGATTAAGAGGGAGACGTGTGTGAACGTAAGCCCCCTATTTTTTCCCCTATTTCCCATATGCTTCAAAGTGGGGATAGGATTTAATAGCAATTCATGAATGATTATGGGTCCCTTTGGTTGGGTTTTCCAACCTGCTTTTGCTTTTGCAAAAGCCAAAAGCCAACCAAAGGATCCAAAAGACATAGGTGCTTTTGCCAAAAGCAGCTTTTCTCGTGGTATAAATCCAAAAGCACCTTCCCCTGCTGGCCGTTGCCCCGGTATTACTTCACAATACATGGCATTATCATATATATCTTATCGCACTATCCACACGGATCCTCAACACCATTTGACTTAAAGTGTCTCTTGGACCTACTGAGCTCTCAAGACCCTATAGGAAATCAGATGATTATATGCTATAATGTGTCCCTCATGGATGAGATCCAAAAGAGAAATCATTTCATCACCATTTATGATAGGTTTGAGCAAATTTCATAACGAAGATGGAGTCCCTGAGCCATACCCTAATGGTGAAACTCGGTTGTATGACAATGAGTCCACTGAAATGGTTTGTAAGAGGCATGTTGTTTATTCCAATCGGGTGCTAAAAGGAAAAATGGACTTGCTGGAAACCTAGCCCCATAATTTTACACATTTGCATGAAAAGTCTGCTGCATTGAATCATGAAGATAAGGTGGATATAATGGATAGTGTATCCAAAGGAGTGATAAATCCGTTAAAGAGGGGATGCATTCCATCCAAGAGCTCGAGCTACCACATCTGATGCACACTATGAAGAAGTAATGTTGCATTGCTCTTATGCTGATGGCAATATACAATATGTCATTGTGTTGACTGATGTATTGAAATAATGATGTTTTGTTTTGTCAGTATTGAAATGATGACGTTTAGTTTTGACCAAACTTGGAATGCAATGCACGTCTGTTGGTCCGTGACCAAACATGAGAGAGGTGAAAGTGGAGAGAGAGAGAGACAAATGAGTAAGAGTCAAGAGAGTCCCCTCCACCTTTCTCCTCTCCCATTTTACAAGGAAGGTGGGAAGGGAGGTATTCACTATTTCTCTTGGTGGGGCTTGTATTTATAAAAGAACATATATGAGCTACAAATGGGCCCTAAGCATTTTCTCACAAGCCCTTTGGCTATGTAATTGGGCGCTGAAAACACTAATGCGGTCCCTAACATATAGTACATCCCCAACACTAGCCCCTAAGCTATTCGGTTTTGACCAAAGACCCAATAGCTAAATACAACTAAGTGTGGCCCAATTACAACTCAGACCCGACACATGGTTCTCATCTACACAGAGATAGTCTAGGGATGGTTTTATCTTTAGCTAGTCTTTGGCTACTCTTCGGTGTCTGTCTTTGACAGCTTGCTCCTTTGTATGGCCTTAAGCCCTTGATACCTTCTTTTCACAATTGAGCCTTTGCCGAAGACATTGATGTAGTCAAACTAGGCAAAGTAGTTGACATAGACAAGGTAGTTGTAAATGATCATGACATGTATTCAAGCTTTCACTCATGGGAGCCAGGCAAAGCTTTTGTCTTTGGGCAAATTGCTTATCCAATGCACTCCTCGCCAACCCCTCTTGCTAGCACTTGTGAGAAATTCTTTCGTGTGCTTGAAGTAAACATCATAGGTGTGGTTGATGTCATGAAAGTGCATCTAGTCCTTTAGTGGGTTTTGGATGATTGAATGACAACGTGATTAAAGGTCTAACCCGTTTGCTAAGTGTGGACAGGTAATAGGTTATCTCACAGGTACTTAATGAAAGCCTAAATGATGTGTTGTTGTATAAACAATCTAGTTCAAGCATAAGACAACAATGCAAATGGAATTCATGCAAAGGCTTATTTGTTATGGGATTTCTATGTGCTATGAGAAAGCAAGCTCTTAAGTATTAATTAATGAGACATGAGGGATTGCATATGGAATGGTCTCATATTTGAAGCTTGCTAAATTGAAATGAAAAAGACAACAATACAAATGAATGGATGATTCAACACAAGATGTGACTTGATGGCTTGAGATGGTGAAGATAGCAAGGAAAGGCTTCGAGGTACTAAGCAAGGGTGAAGGGCAAGCGACGGCTTGGCGGCCGAAGAACCTAGCTAGGGTGAAGAAGAAAGTACTTGCATTTAGTTGAGGTACTAATCAAGCTACGATGGTCATATTGATGTGAAGGATCAAATCACTATTGGAGTGTTTGATAGAAGTGACTTGATACATTTAGGATTATTCAAATTTGATGAATGGAATCAAGTCACGTGCTCAAGATGGCTATGCTCAAGTGAAAAGATCAATATCAACATGTTAGCACCCTTACTTGATGAAGATTGAAAGAGACGGCATCAATTCAAAAGAGATCAACTCAAGTGGTATAAATCCTTTCTTTCTTTGATCTTGAGTTTAATAGGTATGCCGTACTATTAAGAGGGATGCATCATGTTGATAGATAATGTTTCATAAGTGCTCAAGCCAACCCATGTGAGATTTGAGTGTTTGAGAGACAAAAGAGCTAACTGACTTGTTGCTGGTCTGGCCATACCGGACTGCATACCGGACATGTCCGGTATTTGCCCAGTAACTGTAAAAGTGTTGTTCTCGGGTTGGTTCGTCGGGAGTTCTGACGTATATCGGGAGTTGCGACGGTCGGAAGTTCCGACAATGGTCGGGAGTTCCGACGACTCGCAATTTAAATA